GACTTCAATGGCTAGGTAGATGAAATTGCATTGGAAATCTGTTTTCACTGTGTTTGGCTCCAACAGTCTGCAGATTTTGATTTAACACATCATCTTCATGGCATGATCTGTGAGCCAGAAAAAGAAGTGATGGTCACCCATTTCTGTGACCCAGTGTAATTTCAAGCATTCAGAATACATTCACAATGTTCATATATGGTTATTTCTTGAGCTTATTATCTTTATACATATGACTGTAAGGAAAATAAGGTAAGGAAATAAAAGCATTAATGTTGCACAGATATTCCAGCTGGGGGTCTGGACAAAAGGCACTCATACTTCATCAGTGATTGCAAGTTCTCAATTGTTTTAATCAGTTAACAAGCTAATCACAAGCTAAGTCTTAAGACAAAGAGAACTCTGTAATCATTTTTTTTAAATCTTTCTCTTCCAGAAACAAAACTCTTTCAAAATCAGCACTATAGACTGCTTAAATTTGATATTTGTATTCTATTTCATGGATGGTTCTGAATCAAAATTCAGCTTTGGAGGAGTAAGAGGCTGTATGACAGACTAAAATAAATCCTAATATAGATGCTATATCTCAGGATATCTCGAGAGAGTAATTGATTTGATTTGTAGATAGTAAATTATTAAAATCATCCCCCAAACATCTGTAAAATATATAGAGAAAAATAAATCTTTGCTTTCCTTAAAGATGTTTCGTGGTGGGATTGGAAGGATTCAGTGGTGACAGTTTTGCTATTTACATACTCGGTCACTTTGAATGTTAAACTAGCAATCTGGCGCACGTACATTTTTCACTAGACTAGCTTTGGCAAGAGAGTTTTTAAAACCAAATGCAAGGTTGTACACAAAAAAGATTAGTTGTATTTATTGAGGAAAATCTTTAAATAAGAAAACACCAAGCCTCCAAATCAAAGGACAGCAGGGAATCCTGTGCTATGTCAGTGGCCAAGCTTGGTCCATTTTAGTCACTAATAAATTCTGTGCAAATTCTGACATTACTATAATAACATTCTGTCATCTATGCATAATTATAGCAAAAGAATTGTGTCGTTAGTGTTTCGCAGTGTTACCAGAAGAACAAAAACAGCTTAAACAAACTGCTGCAGTAGGTAGAGGGTGCAGGGAGTTCTCAGGGCTGCTTCAGCCGTCCCACTGGCACAAGGGGTCGTGTCCCTAGGCACCAATTGGCTGAGCCACAGAAGCTCCTGAGAAGTGAGTAGCCCTGAGCCCTAAGGTGCTGGCCCCAGCCTCCAGCTCCCCCTGGCTACAGTTCCGGGAGGAGCCAGGCAGGATTATTCTGCCCCAACTGGCACAATTTGCCCCAAACCAAAGTGCATGTCCGGGCACATGCACTAAGGTAAAAAGCCCCAGCTCAAATTTGCGCCACTTCTATTTGAGCTGCTGCAAGTGCACATGCCTGCATGCATGGACGCATCCCTTGATGCCTTGAGAAAGGTTTAATTATTTGGCTGGCTATTTCCCTCTCTTAGCTTGCTGTGTACTTAGGCATTGTTGCACATGTTGGATCTTCTGACTGATCCATGAAAAAAAGCACCGAACAGTTCACAGTCCTTAAGCTATGTCCGTACTTACCTGCTTCTCCTAGAACAAACTTGTGGCAACAACCAGCAGCTGCCACCAAAGCGTGGGTGGTGCTGGCAGTCCTGTATGCTTCCACTCTATAGCTGCACTGGCAGAGCAGGAAGTGAACTCTGGGAAGGCACCAGCTGCTGAATGTACCGTGGCAGCCAGCTGGAGGCATTGTAGGACTTTCCCGTACCATCAGCCAGGGGCTGGATGGCAGAAGCAGCATAACACATGCAGTGGCTCTGCTGGCAGAAAAGAGAGTTCTGCTGTTGAAGAGAGCCCTTCAGGCTGAACACACACAGAGTTTTGCAGAGTGGAAGCGAAGTGATTGAATTTTCCTGCAATCATGGCTGTGTTAGCAGGTAGGGCTGCAGGGTCCAGAGTAAATGAGGATGCACTATTTCAGGGAATCTTCTGAGAGTCCTTTACCAGCAGGCTGGAGTCTGGCTGGTATTCAAAGCTGTTCCCCCAGCTGAGGGGTAAGTACTGCCTTGTCCCAGGGATGAATCCCTCCGCTAGTGCAGTTGACAGTGCCGTAGTGGGTGGGGAGGGGACGAGTGGGCTGACCACTCTGGGCATCGAAGTGAAGGAGCACCAACAGGCACTGCCCAGCTGGGGCGGGGTGTGGGATGCAGCCGCAAGCGGCTCATGGGGGGGGAGGGAGGGAGGCGTGGGGATGGGGGAGAGGGCAGCTCCCACTGCTGTGTGCACTACCAGGCAAGCGTGTGCCCCCCCTGCAGATCTGTGCACGGGGCAAGGGTGGACTGCTGCTGCGGGCTTTGCCCTGGGCACCAAACTTCCTTGCCACGGCACTAGCAGTTGGCCTCTGGACAGTATTTACCTTCAGGGTCAGCAGGGCTGCATGGGTACAGCAGGAGATTTACCAATGTTCGAACACAGTAGGGTTGTAGTATCTGACTATTTATTCAGTATTGAACTTTCAGGGTTGCCATTTAACTCAGAATATCTGTATTTACCATAGTTCAAGCAGGATTTGTCAAAACTGGAATCGGAAAACAGTGTACATAACTCTTCATTGTTTCAACAGTATCTTAATTGATTTGTCCACATGTGGGTGCGTGTGTGTGTGTACAATATCACTATCAGGGAGGGGTGCATGTTGATGCACCTTGTCCAGAGGTCCCCCTGCCAGTTTTATTTTATGGAGTCCAGGGCCATGTTGTTTTCCTAAAGCATCTTTGCCTCATCTGTGAATTTCAGGAAAAGAAAATAAATGCCTTTCTGCTGAATAATAAACTTCACATTCTTCTAGGTGGAAATGCATGCAACACATTATGGATAAGATGCTGAAAGTTGTGCATCAGTTACCTTCCTTTTTTTTATATGTATATATAGATATCTAGCTATATTTATATTTAGACTAAGGAAGTGCCCATCAAGAATGACGTGTGGGCAGTGGGCACGGAGCGCCACCACCCACTGCCCTGCACGGCCACCACTCTGCAACCAGCCACATGCATCCCCCCACACCTGATACACACCCACACCCACCCAGCCCCACACCGCACACACACACACCCAGCCACATGGCACATGCTACACCAACCCAGCCACATGCCACACCCACCCAGCCAGCCACACACCCACCCAACCACACACCACATACACACACCCAGCCACGCACAACACGCAAC